GTCTTAAAGAGCGGTTGCCTTCGGAGACCTGAATGATATAGCGGGAGCTAAGATGCGAAAACTGCTCAGTTTTGCAAGCTACATGCATTGATCCTCTCAATGGGCTTGATTGGGGCCTAGGTGAGCAAAAGCCCAACAGCCTTTTCAACCAACCAACTAACCAACAGTTTTTCCAGACTTATTTTCAAAAAAATAAGGTGCACAAATCCTGCCGAATCATAAACCGTGTCATATAGTTACACATTGAGGTTGGAGAGGGCCAACAAATCTAGGGTTTTCCGAACTCCAGATGAGACAGTTGTAATTATTGTCGTAGCCAAGAGCTGGAAATGGCTTCATCAGTCTGATTTTTCAAAATCTTTAAGCATTTCCATAACAAATTTATGGTATTGCATTTTAGGATTAAATATTTATTATCATATCTGAAAAATCGGTTGTAAGTAGGCCATATAATCTCATCGCGGAATAGACAATATATCAGCTACCATCAAATAAACAGAGCGCCCTTTGACGTCTTATTCCATACGTCACCATTGGCAGTCATACCTTTAAAGTTATCGACGTACAATAATGTCAGTCTGACATCCCACGCAGAATTACTCTTACCAAGAGGTGCTACTTTGGCCTGAGTAGCCAATTGAAAGTAAAAGTAAGCCCCTCAACCCAACAAGTCAATTACCATTCCCAGCCTTATATGTGGCGCGCAGACTTGGAAAATAAAGACACATGTTAATAGAACGATGAATAAAGGCAATCCAGCTCAGAATAAATTAATGCACATCCACCTGAAATAGAGGAAAAAGGAACTGAATTCACTTAGTGTTAAAAATTGGCGTGCTAAGACAATAAGTGAACTCTACTCGCCTGCTATTCTTGACTCAACTAAATTGGGGCCTGGTAATAGTAAAAAACAATAAACTCCTCATAAAGAAACCATCAGCCGCTCGGAGGCAGCTTATCATAAACTGTAGTTTCCTCCGTTTGTTGGAAATATATCAAGACTCAAAACCACAAATTGATGGAGGATTCAACTAGTTTTCAATAAAAACAAATCAATAAACTTTTCTACTAGTACCCCAGTTTTATCTATTAAGTCTAGTAATAAGTAATACATTATTTTTGCAATTGGCTTTATTTACTTACTTTATTTATTCATAGAGTTATTTGATTTGTCTCAAATGTGCACCGTTTTGCCCTATAACTTTTTTTTTTTTAAGGTAATTTAAGTATGCCTCTCATAGAGACTCTTGTCCTTATTGGTAAAAAAAATTATCACAATCGATTTTTACAAGCTTCTTCAGAGGGCAATTATTCACCAGCCAAGTCATTCGCAATAGAAAGGAACAGATAGTTAGTGCGAGGTGTGGTTAAAAAGGATACATGAAAGCCTCCCAACTAAGCTCTCTTGCCAATTTCACCTAAGAAGAAAAACGTGCTGGCCTCAATCCTGGCTTGGGTTTATTTATGGCGGCTTATTGTCTGTCATTGCCAGTCATCACCAGTCAACATCCGCTTCAGAAATTGGGCGATTTTGTTACGTTTGACCAGCGATTCGCAGATAGAAATTCATGCATGAGGTTTTATCTTTTTTTAACTCATGCGGCGGCCAACGATCGAGCTTCTTTGTGTATCCATAAGCATTTTTTAAATGGTATTACACTGTGGTTTGTACAATTTTAGCTCCTGGACAATCGAGACAGTGCTTACATGACGGTCGGACACGACAATTTCCATTGTTTTATCGCCATTTTCGTCAATTGACCTTCCACACCGTGGAGCAACTTTTCATCAAAATTATCGGAACAAAAATGAATAAACCAAAACTGTACATGACTGACCGTTACAGTTTCAGAACCATAAGCATTATTCACATTTCTGTTTTTAAATTTCTTGTTGATATTTAAAACTATCTCGACATGTTTTTAAAAAAATTATGTTACTAATTTTTATTTTGATCTTTTTTATCGCCAAATTGATAAGGAACTGCCAAATAATCCGATGCCACTTCACAACAGGAGAAAAGAAAAACTTGAAAAATAAAACAAGAGTACATTTCGAAGCGTCCGTTATCAACATGGCATTAAATTCTACTCTCTCTCTCCCGCTACATTTTTCATACAACATAATCAGACACACAGCAATGAGATGTCAACGTAACGAACGGTAATAATAAATCAGAAATTACAGTAGAGAGAAAGATGAACAAAGATACTGCTCGGCAGGCAATGAGTTGAAATTAAATGCCGAAAGTACCTTTAACTACCGCATAGAAAGCGGAAGGTAACAATAAAGACAGAGCAGCAGAAAAGGTAGCGAAAAAGGACAAAAAGTGTAAAAAAAAAAATTGAAGCAGAATTTTAACAAAAAAAAAAACTAAAAGTAGCAAGTGTAGAGCACAGGAAAGATTGCAGGAAAGAAATGACGGCAAGAAAAACAAGAAATAACTATAAAATGAATTACAATTGCGCCAAAAAAGGACCAATAAAGTGCGCGAAGCGATAAGCAAAGTGGTAGGGAAAATGCAATAAAATGGAAATAAAAATGCAAATTAATAAAAATGAGAAATAAAAACAAATACTGAAATAAGAAAAGAGTTGAAGGAGTAGTAAACACAAAAATACAAAAAAAAAAAAAAAATGTTAAGAAAATCAACAGTAGCACGTAGAATGTGGGGGTGTGTGAAAACAATAGTAATTGGTAGGTGTTAAACCGTCATTATTTGCTTGCTTTTAACTGAAATTAAACATCAAAAAGTGAAAAATATCGCCGTTACAAAAGAAAAAAAAAGGAAAATAGGGGACGAACAGTAAATAGATAAAATTACAAAAGTAAATGAAGGGTGTATTAATATAACTTTATAAAGAGTTAAAAGGGATTAATAGGTTAAACGTCACTGTCAAGGGTTGCGAATAAATGTAGAAATCAACAAAAAAGGAGACTGATGTGTAAAAAAATGCAAATTTTATTCTAAAATAAAATAAAAGGAGAAAGCAAATTGGTAATTCCAAAACAAGACAAAAGTATTGAAACAATTAAAGTAGAATAGTAAGAAAAAAAATGTGAATATAAATTTTTTATGAAAGTGGAAAAATGGTTTAAAATGTTTGCTCCTACGATTCCCAAAAAAAAAAACATTTTTTTAATATTTGTCAAACGGAAAGTGAACTACAATACATTGATATATACATATGTCCATTTTTCTTAACTAGAAACAATAATACAAGTTGAAAGACCTACCTAACATAAGCTATCCGCATTGTGGTTGTAGCGAATTCCATGTTATCCATATCCTCGACAGCTGCCCAAGCTCACAAGAAATAAGAAGTGGAATATTCAACAATACTTAGTCAACAGATCATCTTAAGCTCCCAAGTGAACGTAACTTAAAACTTATTGCAAAATTTGTATCACTTTGTAAAATAAACTTATAATTATTACAAAAAAAAAATAAAAAATTAGAACAATCCCATATTGTCACCTAATCTAGAATAATTGAGTGTAGACAAGCTTCTGGGTATGCTGTTACAGTTGTGAGGCGTCCACGTTGCACACCCGGGAAAAGTGAGCAATCCTTGTGCAAGATATCGTAACCAGCCCGTGTAGAGCCTTGGGTCACGGCTAATGAGAGAGGAAGAGGGTTAACTGAAGTCTAATTGCAGCGTCTGTTCACCAGAGGTGAGGGTCTTGAAGCAAGCGGCTCGCTATATAAATGTGTATACAACTTTAAACTTGATCGCCTAGCGAGGTTGTACGCAGAGTTTGGGACCCACCACGTAGAAACCAGCTCCAATGAAAAACTACAAAACGCCGTAAGTCGCCGTGTCTTCTTATATACAAACTTCTCTAGCTGTTCATACTCACATATCTCGGCCTGTTCTTTTTTTTTTTTTTTTTTTGTCCGCAGTCTGCAGTCTGCAGTCTGTGTCTTTGCTCTCTCTGCATCTCTTGGTACCCATTCCATCTCGCACGTGTTAAGGTCGATTGCAAGGTTGCGAGCTAGGCAGCATTTTTTCCGTCCACTTCCACACGACAGTCCTCATCGTACCAGTTTTTTTTGTGACCTTTGCGAAATCCAACAATTTGTACATAGCGAGTGTGCAATGCCATCCCACAGTTACCTTATGCCGGGTTGCTGAAGAGTGCTCTCAGAAAGCAGGTGTGGAAGTTAAGTAGAAAACCGCGCGGAAGTCTCTTGCGATTGCAGTTTTTTGACGTCGAACATTTTGTGCTAGAATCGAGTATTAAACATTAAAATATATTTCGGGTCTCGTCGAAGTCGATCAGCCTTAACCCATTAGGGGATGCTTCGTTGTGGAGGCTAGATTTTCTTACAGTTGTAGTCAAGATACCTTTGCCCTGGTATAAACATCGTGGCGGGGCAACGCTCATGAGTACGGTCCAGGTGCTCATAAAAGACATCTTTGACCAAAGGAGTTTTAATCAAATGACACTATGCATAAGAATCTCTTTTGACAGTTCCATCCTTGGTGCGCTTCCTGTTAGAAAGTGTTGAATGTAAGGTAATCTTTGCTAGGATATTTATGTCTAAAATTTCACATAAACGCGAATGGAATTTTTCATATAAACCATTCCCTAGTCCTCTTCTTTCTTCTAATAAATATGAGGAACCTGAAAATTTTGAAATATCAATAATATAATCATGTGTGTATATGAAAAATAATATAAACTTTTCTGGAAGCTTCCACAGCAGACTACTGCCTTAAATAAAACAAAAAAATTTACAAGTTTATGTTTATTTTAATTACAATCAAACATAAACCAAAAGTAATCTTCAAATATTTTCAGGTAAATATTTTGAGGTAATACAATAAAATATGTATGTATATTTTAAACAAAAAATAAGAATTTTTTGGAAAAAAATAATTGATATATTCACAAAATATGCTTCTTGAGAATACATAAAAAAAAACAATATGAAATTAAATTGAAAACCACAAAAATTGGTTAACAAAACTTTTTTCTTCGAATTTAAAACTAGAAAGTTACAAAATTGTATTTGACATAAATTTTTTAACAGCAAACAAAATGAAAATGGTTGCCACTAGTTGATAGAAATCTTCATTTGTTGTCTGTGAACTCTGTAATAACTCAGCAGCAGTTTAACCTGCTTACACGCTACCTATGTGCTCGGCACACAGCACTGCTGGCAGTTCTCCATTTGCGGTGTGAACTCCTCAATTTGTATGGTCGTCTCAAAGAAATTGTAACGCCGATGAACTGCAAGACTGGCCTCCTCCAAAATGCGCTTGGCATTTGCATCGGATGCTGGAATGAAGGAGAAGAAAGGGGTGTAATTTAATTATATTATTGAGATTTTACATATATCATTTATATCTTTTGCACTAACTGGCTTAACTTTCAGCTAATTCGCATAAAAACTATTCTTTGTTTGACTACACATCAGCCTCATACTAGTTAAATACTAGTTTATACAGGCACATCGAATTTCTGCTTTAACAAAATTAATATCGCGAACCTGACGCGATCGGCTATCTTGACGGTGTAGCGATGAGAGCAATTTTATGCATTTTGGAAGAGCGTTACTCAAAACAAAACTCAGCTGTGACGTGCCAGATGTAGCAACAACAAGCGGTGATGGGAATTATTATTATTATTTTTTTTTTGTGAAATGCTATACAACTAACGAACTGGTATGATGTCATGATACTTATACCATCGGCACTAACAACACTCTCGATAAGAAAGCAAAGAATATGTTTGTGAAGAGAAATAAACTGTTATATTCCTTGTCATCAAACAAACAGGCAACGCTACCACGTCTCTGTTGATAGTCATTACATTGAAGATGTAGATAATTTTGTCTATCTTGGAACCAGCCTCAACGCCAACAACTATTTTAGTTTTAAATTCATACTCGAAGATACTCACTTGCCAACTAGTGCTGCTTTTCTCTGCTTAAGCTAAATTCTGCTCCCTCGACAAACTAAACTGTGACACCTTCACTATAACCGTTCAGTAGTAGAAACCTCGACACGGACTATATCGTATGTGTCGGCTTTAGTTTTTCCGGGGGGAAAGCTTTTTAGTGTTATGGTCCCAACTGCCAACGGCGAATGCTCCCGATTAGGTGATGATGAGCTATACGAGGCATACGGTAATACTGACAAAGCTCAACGAATTAATAAAACTTTTGATAAGGGAAATGAAAGGCAGGGAGAGTAGAGAGAGTTGGTATCTCCGACTAATATTTCACGAACCCTTTACTTTGCTGCAGCATAAATTCGTCAGTTAACATGAGAGATACTACGCATCTTTTCATATTCGAACTCACTGCGAACAAATTGATTGAATTCAGTGAGGCTGTTCTCAAGATATATGCCAACACCGTAATCCTAAACATAAACAGATTACAGATTATATCTGACTTTATATATTCCACTATTCACTCTCAGTCATATTTTACACATTTTCCCAGTGATTCCACACTAATTAGATCTTCACACGTGGTTAAAATTTGAATTTCAAAGCTATTGCGTTAGCAATCAATCGGTAGTTGCCAAGTACCAACAAAATCAACGCATGGATGTAGGTGTCGCCTAGCTTTAAGCGTATATTATAAGAGGAGAGAGAGTGTGTGCGTGTAGTATGTAAACAATACTGTTGGCTTACGGTGCATACTGCAATTGCAATAACTTTTAGCGTACAACTTTCGCAGCGTCTCACGGTGTAACACTTCAATTAAGCCAGCATAGCTCGCCCTAACAGCTAAGAGTAGCCAACAAAGAAAACAAAAGCAAAATTACGCAAATACTATGCTGTAGCGACTTGCATGCATACATATGTATATAAAATACTAACAACTTTCGATTTACTACTGTTGATCATGTGGAGCAGTAGTTTATGCAGTTCTCCAAACGCCTGCTCAAACGCCTAGCATTATGCTACACTACAATTTCAAAGCTTCGCATAGTGTTTTTTGTTTTCATTGGCTGTCAGCTTGTTTGTCTTTTAGTCTGCGCAATTGTTTTCTCTTCTCCGTCACATCGTCTCCGGCCAAGACAACAAAAATTCACAAAATTCTGTGAGCATTTCAACAAACTGCTCGCATACTTTTTGGCAGCGAATTTGCTAGCGTTAAGCTGCAGCTAACAATCAATGCCAAGCAACTGGCATTGTCATTGTCGTTGATGTGTTGCAGGCAAATGTTTATCGTCAAAATTTAAGCTGCGAAGTTTTGTATGAGTTTTGAAGCAAATATTAATTAAGTACTCAAATAAAGTGAAATGCATAAATGCAAGATGCCGAAAGATATGCAACAGTTTTGGTAAATTGTAGAGATTTTGGATATTTGCTTATAGAAAATTGCCACGCTTGAGAGCGAAGAGTATAAAGCGTATATGTCCGTTGGCATCTCTTCTTCTCTCCAATCTCTCACCATACTGAAGTAATTTTCTTTATTTTCAACTTTTACGATCGCTTCCTTAATTTATCTTGACTGCATTTATTTTTATGCGTGTCACCAAAAATTTACCATTTTACGCAATGCGGAAGGATGCGCGAGGCACGTGACATTTAGTCATGTCCTAAGTAAAGCGTTCTTTTTATTTGTAGCCTATTCTTTTTTATACTTTTATACTTGTCTTTTGCTTTATTCATGTACAATACATCTTTATGCATCTTCATATGCAAGTGTACTTATATAATTCTGTATCAAACAAATCATAAAATAACGCTGAATTTACGGTCAACTGCATGCTCGTTATGATAAAGTGGTCGTTGGCATTTTACCGTTAAATGGGAAATTTGTATAAAGAATTTATGTTAAGAGAGAAATATTTTGAGAGATAAAAACAAAACAATAAAAATAAAGAAGGTGAGGACTGCATGGATTCTCAGCTCTCATTAATAAGCATATTTTATGAGTTGGGTGTCCTGTTGAGGATGAGTTGCTGTATTCTGTCGCATCCGCTCGGCGATGGGGAGTTATGTGCAATAAAACGTGGAAAGCCTCGTCTGCTGTTTATCATTGTTGGGGAGTTATCTTCGAAGTATAAAGTGTTTGAGTGGAGACCCTTTGTATCGAAAATAATCGAAGAGTAAAATGCTCCTTTTTGATTCGAAGACTCAAAGATTTCTAAATTGGAGAACTTAAGGTTAGAAAGAACGATTTGGACTTTGTATGGTGTGAACTGTCCCCATTGCATGGATTTGGCCTCCATCTGGGCTAGACTGCCTGAACCGCCCTAATTTGGGGATGTATAAATTGGATTAAGTTGAACTGTGCAAGGTTGGACTGGAATAGAATGAACTGGAGCACGCAGGAATATACTACACTAAACCAGACTACGCTGGCACATACCAAAGCAGGCTCTGATGTACTGATTTGAACTAAATCGGATTTCTAAATTTTTGAATTGAACTTAGATGAAACATGCTACTAGACTAGACTTCAGCTTGCTGGACTTATACTGAACAAGGCTGAACTGAACTAGACTAAACTGGCTTCTCTGCACTAGACTGAAATAGGCCGGACTAGATTGGACTATGTAGGACTACATTGGAATAGGCTGGGCTAAAGTACACTGGACTGGAAGAGACAGAGTAAATTGAACTCGAATAGGCTGGACTGATGTGCACCAGATTTGATTAAGCAGGACTTTGGTCTAGACTAGACCAGAGTAGACTTAACTGGGCAAGACTGGACTAATTTGGACTAAGCTGTACTAAAATGAACTAGGAGAATTGAACTAGAGTAAATTGGAGTTTTATAAACCAGATTGTGCTATTTAGAACTCTGTTAAGCTATGATGGAGCTTAGTAGACTCAACTGGATTTAGCTAGTTCAAAAAAGAGTAGGCTGGACTAAACTGAAGGACGCTTAACTTTGTTAGACTAAACTGGTCTAGACTCTACTAGTCTGGATAAGGCACAACTAGTCTAGACTAGATGATACTGGGCTAGACTCTAGACCACACTCTACTAGGCTTGACTAGACTCTACTAGTCTCGACTAGACTCTACTAGTCTCGACTAGATTGTACTATTTCGGATTTGACTAGACTAGAGAAAAGCAGGCTAAATTAGACGATTTTAAGTTGGACCAGACTCTACGAGATATGACTATTTTAGACGAAATTGTATGATGGTGGGTTAAGCTGAACTATGCTAGTATAAGCTGAAGACTAAACTGGAATAAGTAAGTCTGAACTGAGCTTCGTTGTGTTAAACAAAAACAGTGTAGTCTAGCCAAGACTTGATTAAATTAGATTAGATTATACTGAACTAGGGTGAACGGGAATGAATTAGGTTTATAAAGGCCAAATTTTGCTGAAATTCTAGATAGAATTGGGCTGTATTAAGCTGGCGATTTTAATGGATTAACACTTGCAATGCGTCAAATAACATTGAGTTGAATTCAATGAAGGTGAAGTAATACTTAAGTACCGTAATTTGTCTTCTATCTAAACAACTAGGGACTAGTAAAAAAAAAACAATGAACCAACTGAAGGGATCTATCGACAGACCGTAATGTCATGGCATTATAATCAGCGGCAGAATAAAAGAAAGGATTAATAAGTCGAACTTTTTAAATTTTTCCAGCAACAAAAAGTGTTTGTCCTCAATTCGAAAAATTCCCTACATTTTCTGGCACTGACACAAAGCCTCAGGCAGTATGGCTGAAGTACATCCATTGTTAAATAACTGTTATCCAATAATGTAGATAATAGAGAATATTGAAATCAGCAATATTTCCACGCCGCCATTCATGCTTGGTCAATCAAACGTAAGTAAAATGCACTTTATTGCACACATACATATATATGAGTGCATTCAACGAACTTGATTATGATAATTTGCGATGCGAATGGCGCTTACTTCAATCAAATGTGAGGAAAAGTAGGAATGAAAGAAATAATATACTTCCAATTGAATGTACTTGCCAATCGGCAATTGACTTCCACTTCCACGTATTTTTTCTCATATTTTTCTCTTTCCTTTTTTAACTTTTGCAGACAGTATGAAAGGAGAATTTTTTTTTATTTCTCAGCGAACACCTGCCGCATTTTCGCATTTGCAGACGTTGAACGCCTCAGTGCATGCTATGAAAAAATTCATGGCACACACATGCATAAGAGCGTATCTACAAACACTTACACACATCGAGCGGACGCATTGAAGCATTCAACTTTGGAAGGGAAGCTGTTGCACTTATTGCATTTTTCTACCTTTTTATTCAGCCAAAAGGTAGCAGACATTCTTGGCAGACAAAATGAGGGGCGTAAAGTGGATTGTATGGCGACAAAGGCTCGTGGGATAGAAGAGTAGAGCGTAAATATGCTGGAGAGTCAAAGGTATGGTGACACAAAAGTGAAATGTAACGAGAAGCAGTAAAATGCACATCCAATACACACTCACTCTCGCACTCACACACATTTATATATGTATGAAGCCCACAGCACTAGGTGACGCGCGAAGTTGGATGAGATTTATTGGATGCGCACGCTTCACTGGTCACAACTGCAGCACAAATATACAGACATACACACGCATATATGTAGCTTTGGGGTAAAAGAAGCTCGGGTTGCCGCGAGTTGTGTCAGCTGTGTGACATAAGCGGGCCATAAGCGCGCAAAAGAGTATAAAATTAAAAGTTGCCTCAAGTGCTGCCAAGTAAAACACTCAGTCGCCAGTCAGACTATGCTGATTTGAAGGTAAGTAGGGAGAAGGAGAGGCGTAGGAGACTGTTAAGTGCGCTAAACTTAAAGTTAGCAACAGAAATTTTACAACCAAAAAAATTTTACCAGTCTTTTGCAGTTGTCGGCATATAATTTTCTTTTAATTTTTAATATTTTTTTTATGTGAATTTCAAATAAATTTTGCTTCAAACCAAACTAAATGTAGATTTTAAAATTTAGAAGTGGCTTTCGTCTCCTTAAAAATGAAAAAATGGCAAAGAAACTGAGTACAGATCGTGAAAGAGAAATGCTCTGGTGATTGCCTAAATATAAAGGGTTATCAATTTTACGGCTCCGAAAGTAAACGTAAATCAAATGATCTTGACGTGATCTTGTTTCATCAGGTGACAACTATATGTAAGTCACACGATACGAAATCAACAGTGTGTTTGAAAAATATGGCCTTCTGTTAATTATAACAAGCTCATCTTATATTAAGATAACCGAGATAACCAAGCAGCTTCGATATCACTGAACTCTTTTAGAATTTCATCAAAGCAATAAGTAAGACTAACATTATACTTTAAAATAAATCAGCAATGGTTATAAGTGGTATCAACGATAGCCTGGGTGACTCTCAAACAGATGAGCTAGCTAAATTACAAATTAATTTTCAACTAGATTCAGATAAAGAGAAAACGCATTTGTTCTTCAAAAACATGTTAAAGATATAAGTTAGCCATGCTGGACGCAATCTCTGAGAATTGAATTGAAATTGAAATAAGTCTATACTCATTCTAAATAGAACCTCCCGAGCATTTCAGATAGTAATAGATGCTGGAGGCTGAGACATATAGCGATAGCAAGCATCAATAATTTCTAATGTTTCTTTAAATATATCAAGCGGTTTTAGCATCTAGAGAAGCATGTCTTCTATAGACAGGAGGCCCAAGTGCGCTCGATCAAGAGACCCCGTGCTTAAGTAACAGAACTAACGAATTTACACTAAAAGAAGAAAAATAAATAAAAAATGTTTGACTAAAGTCTTCGGTTTTTAGTTTTAAGCCTAAAAACTTATATCACATTTAAAACATATTTTTTTAGAAAAAAAAAAACTTTATAAAATTACGAAATACATTGGTCAAGTAAAAAGTTCATTCGGTTTTTATTGATTTTTCAAAATATGATAACTTTGTGTACATTTGTCCGATATAAGTCAAATATGCGCCGTTTTGCTCGTAAACTTGTTGCCAACGAGATACCAACTTTATTATACCCCTCTCGTAGAAGGCTGCGTGCCTATTGGCAAAAAACTCGCATAGCCATTCACAGTCCTCTCTTGAGGTCAACTTCTCACCCTTAAGCAAAAGACGGTAATCACTTGGTGCCAGATCCCGACTATAAGGTGGGTGCCTTAGGACCGCCCATCCGAGCTCCTGGAGCTTCTAGCGCGTCACCAAAGACGTGAGTGGTTTGGCTTTGTCCTGATGGAACAAAATTTGGCCTCTGTTGATCAAAGATGGCCTCTTCTGGATGAGATCTGCCTTTAAGCGGTCCAGCTGTTGGCAGTAGAGGGCCGAATTGAACGTTTGGCCATAAAAGAGCAGTTTGTAGATGATTCCTTGCCAATCCCATCAAACACACAGCAAAACTTGGTGTATCTTTGATATCGAAACTACAGGAACGGAACCTAGCAAACCACTTTTGCGCTACACGTTCGTTTGCAGTATTGGGCCCATAAACTAAATTAATTTTTTCAGCTGCTTTTTCGCCTGGATCGAAGCAAAATTGTAAAATTTAGCAAATTTTCTTTATGCTGGTGTCTATCTTTGATAAGCGCTCACAACGCTCTCACTCCATCAATCGAAAAACTGTCAAAGACAAACTTTTAGCACGAATAAACATGCTTTTAGCGCCGTATAGTATGACATGATGCGACAGGTAACACTAGTAATGCGGACAATGACGCCATCTCTTAGATAAAAACCGAACGAACTTTTTACTTGATCGAATATGTAATCGTATGTAAGTTGACTGCACAAAATGTTATAGCTTAAATTTTACATACAAATAGTTCAACGTAAGTGACTGACCGTAGCTATCAGGGTTGCCAGCGCATTTCATTGTTATTATTATTTTTAATTAAAATTATTATTTTTAATTGGCAAAGTGCCATGAAAAATTCAAAAAATTTAGAAATTAATTTTTCTTAAAAATTTAAAAAATTTTCACAACCGTATAAAAATTAGTATTAACAACAAATTGTATGTTGTAAAAGTGTTTAAAGTTTCGCTTCACAGCATGCTTCACAGCTAAAAAAAAAAATAAATTTTTTTATTGGCTCATTGATTTCTAGAATGACGTGAGAATATTATCTTAAATCTTCAAATCGATCCATCATAAATTTTCGGAGAAGGAAGGTGAACGCTCACAGGCAGGTAGGCCTAAGCGAATAAAGTTTTGATCGCGTTTTTCTCGAAACCAATTTTTCAAATCCGGTTGTCAAAAGTTCTCTAAAGCTATTCCTCCTCCTACTGATGAAATCATACACAGGTCTTTGATCAATTGGGGGACTTGTTTTGCCATGAGTTCTACTCTTAGCTTTTCCAAGGAGTTAGCGGAAGTGACCTCACAATGGCGGAATTATGAATGTTTTCTCTTACGAAGTTCAGATTTTTTTTTTTCATATGTGTATGAGTGTGATCGGACGAATGCATGCCCGATGATTAGAATTTAAGTGTGCTCTGCCTAATCCATAAAAAAGGGGACCCCACAGTCTGTGCCAGTTACCATGGAATAAGCCTGCGTGGTATCGCCTGTAAGGACCTGTCCAGCGTATGGTGTGAAATACTGCAGCCCACCGTCAACAAACTGACCTGGTAAGTCAACCATTGACCAGATATTCACAATGCGCCAAATCTTAGAAAAGACCCGTGAAAAGAGGATCGGCACACACCACCTTGGTATCCCGCAAAACTTATGCGGCTGAGTAAGCTGACGCTGGACAACACCAGAAGCGCAGTCAAAATTGGGAAGGACCTCTCCGAGCCGTTGGATACCAAACAAGATTTCAGAGAGGGTGACTGCTTGCCGTCTGATTTCTTCAATTTGATGCTGGAGAGAATAATAAGACCTGCAGAGCTGAATGGAGAAGGTACAATCTTCTATAAGAGTGCACAACTACTGGCGTACGCCGATGACATTGACATTATCGGTCTCAACAACGGCGCCGTTAGTTTTGCTTTCTCCAGCCTTGATAAAGAAGCGAGGCGAATGGTTCTGCTGGTAAACGAGGACAAAACGAAATATCTCCTGTCACCAAACAAACACTCACCGCATTGGCGACTTGGTTCCCACGTCACTGTTGGCAGTCATAATTTTGAAGTCGTAGATTATTTCATCTACCTAGGAACTAGCATCAACACCAACAATAATGTCAGCCGTGTAATCCAATACAGAATCACTCTTGCCAAAAGGTGTTACTTTGGACTGAGTAGACAATTGAGAAGTAAAGTCCTCTCTCGGCGAACGAAAACCAAACTCTACAAGTCCCACAACGTTCCCGTTCTGCTATATGGTACGGAAGCATGGACGATGACAACATCTGATGAGTCGGCGTTAGTAGTTTTCGAGGGAAATGTTTTGCGAACGATTTATGGTTCTTTGCATATTGCCGACGGCGAATACCGCAGACGATGGAACTATGAGCTGTACGAGTTATGCGGCGACATTGCCATAGTTCAGCGAATCAAGAAGCAGCAGCTACGATGCGAATACTCCATCTATGATAGTTTTCGATGCAGTGCTTGTAACTTCTTAATTTTAGTTTAAACAGAGTTGCCATATTTAAATAAATTCCTGTGATGTGAAAAACAATTTTTTTTTCTTTTTATGCAACTTTTTTTCCAACCAAAAACTTTTCCTGCATAATTTCTCTCTTCAGAAATCCTGTCTTACGACTATAATAATTTACTTCGACTTCTTTTTCTTGCTCCATTACCAACACTTTTTCACATGAAATTTCCTGTATGCCGCGGTAAAATGATAAATCACCAAGAGAGCAAGCATTAGATGTTCAACTGCAGTCAAGTGGAAAGTAAAAGTTTTGTATGGCGCGCATTTTAAGAAATTTATTGCGGAAGTGCTTTTTGATATGCGCCGGTAAGTATTATATTAACACATTTATATATATATATATATATATATATATACGTATACACACATATATGACTTATACATGTATTTACATATGAATATATATGAAGGTGCGCACGTAAATGTGTCAGCTACCAAAGAGTTAAGATTTTCTTGCTCATAAAATGCACGCGTCATTCGGTCTCTTACCGCTCTTTTACCCACGTTCAGGCTCACTCTTATGTCCCAAAGCAACATTTTTCTTGCATACTACCCTAGTCGATATCACGCATTGCAGGCGTCATAGGATTGTGTGTTTAAGTGTGCCGAGCTTTAGAATTCTCTTTCACTTGATTTTTAAGAAAGAAAATTTTAATAGAAAAAATTGTGTCATGAAACTCTTGAAATCTAAATTAAGCTGTTTTAAATATCTGATACGTATTAAATTTTAAGAAAAGAAGAAAAAAAAAAATACCCGAAAATACGGTGAGTTATATAATAATAATGTCATATTTCAAATATAGAAAAATTATATAATCGGTAAGAGAAGTTGGAAATTTAGTACTTCTAAACAAACTGGCTGTGAGTCTAGTATTTTTTATTTTAAAAACGGAATTAAAAGAAAAACACTAAAAATTAAATCAGAATTGGCAAATATAAAGGAGCCACGTAAAATTTGTGTTTTACTTTATGTAGTCGGAAGTAATCAAGAATGGCCTTGAAGTTCAGTTGACGATTAAAACATCAACCCGGTACGTTTTAAATACAGCTGAGCAATTGGGCCCAAATAAATCTCTTCGCTCTACCAAGGAAGCAAATGAACAGCCCTCGAAGCTCTTTAATGTCTTTCCAAAAAGTCACTGCTAAAAAGATTGCCGAAGCACGTAGAAACCACGTACAGATATCTTCCTAGAGTCCAAAAGGCATACTACCCTGATTTTTCTAATTATTCGAAAGAAATCTGTTTTAAAAAAATATTCTTTTCTCCATCATAACAAAGTTATGCCAGCATAACAATTTGATTTTCATGAAAAAAATTGTACCGTAAAACAAGTCGAACGAGTTACGAAAAAAGTCAGGAAGCCATTCAAGTTCAAGTTGCTGAGCATTCGACAAAGTTAGGTATGAAGCGCTATGCCTTTGCCAATCTAATTATACAACTGATTTCAGTCTTATCTTGCACTCCTGCTCTCTGAAAGCACTCACCTGCAACCCGGAAACTGTGGGATGGCAAACGAAACTATTGGATTTCGGAAAGGTCGCAAAACAGCTGGTACGACAAGGACCGCCGTAGCGAGAAGGAGAGAAAACAAACTGCATTGCTCGCCTGTATTTGAGATCGACGACAATACGTTCGGGGTGGGATAGATACCGAGAGCTGAAGAGAGAAGCAAGATGTACGTGCAGGGAAAAAAAGAAAGAGGCCGAAATGCATGAATACGAGGAGCTTGCGAACTTTCAGTATACTGAATTTATGAAAGGAACATTTTTTCAGCTAAATGGCAGTCAGGGTGTATACCCTGGGATGGTGAGCCTGAAATTCCAATTGGCGACCATGGAAAAATTATTCCAATACCCGACTATGAAGAGGTCCGAATAGCAATCACCCGCCTAAAGAACAACAAAGCGTCGGGCACCGATGGATTACCGGCCGTGCTATTTAAATACGGCGGTGAAAAACTACTCAGGTGTATGCATCAGCTTCTTTGCAAAATATGGTCGGATGAAAGCATGCCCACGGTCTGTGCCAACTATCGTGGGATAAGCCTCCTTAACTTCGCACATAAGGTCTTTTGAAGCGTACTGTGTGAAAGACTAAAGCCCACCGTCAACAAACTGATTGGACGTTATCAGTATGGCTTTAGACCTGGTAAGTCAACCATTACCCAGACATGCATCATGCGCCAAATCTCGGAAAAGACCATTGAAAATAGGATCGGCATACGCAAAATCTTCGTCGATTTTAAAGCAGCCTACGACAACACAAGAAAGTGCTGATTTTATGCCGCTATGTCTGAATTTATTATATCCACAAAACTTATACGGATGTGTAAGCTTGCCTTGAGCAGCACTAAAAGATCCGTCAGAATCGGAAAGGACCTCTCCGAGCTGTTTAATACCAAACGAAACCAGATTAGACAAAGAAGCGAAGTGAAAGTGTCTGGTAGTAAACGAGTACAAGACGAAATATCTCCTGTCATCAAACAAACACTCACCGCATTAGCGACTTGGCTCCCACGTCGCTGTTGACAGTCATTCCTTCGAGCTCGTAGGAAACTTTAACACCTGTCAACAAGCGCTACTTTGGACTGATGAGTCGGTCCTGGGAGTCTTCAAGAGAAAATTTTTGCGCAGACGATGGAACGATGATGCAGTACCCGATAGTGGAAGCAGAGGAAGCGGAAGACCTCCACTTCGTTGGAAAGATCCGGTGCGGAGAGTGACCTGTTTATACTTGGTATCTCCAATTGGCGCCAAACAGCAAAAAATAAGGGATGAATTGCGCGCTAATATTAATTCAGCTCTAGTCGCGTAAGCGGTGCGAATGCCAATCAGAAAACCGAGAGAAATTCAGTACATCATTTTGCTCGATAGGTTTTTACCATAGAAACCCTTGGTAAAAACTTGGGACAATCGGTTTTTACAGACTTTTTTTGGGGCTAATTTTTTACCAACCAAATTATTCGTCATAGGCTGGAGCAGATGGTAATCAATTGGTGCTAGCTCTGAGCAAAACAGATCAGCCATCATCCGCTTCAGAAATGGGTATATTGCGTGAATGTTCAGAGAGTAGCAGACTAAAATTCGCTCCAAAAGGATTCTTTTCGTTAACCTATGTGGCACCCATACCTCGAGCGCTTTGAATACCCAGCCTTTTTAAAGGTTCCAAGCTACTTTATTTCAATATTTAGCACACGAAACAGTTTAGCGAACAGCGAAATCAACGAAATCAAAATATAAAAATTATTGTTTACTAAATCTAAAATTTTCACATAAAAAATTTATTTAAATTTTAATAATAATTTTATCGTTTGTGCGTATCTAACAAAAATTTCAGGCATACTACATGACCCAAATTATTAAATAACTAGCATACTTGGAAGCTTAAAAGCGTGATTTGCATTCCAGATAATTAAATGAAAGAGCGGGAGAGAGAGTGAGTAAGTAAGTGGCTTGTCCACATGGGAGAGCACATAAAACCATATTTTAATATCATTAAAAAAAGTAAGTGCCACTCGGTAATATCTACTTTTACGGAACAGAGTTTTATGGTGGAAAACTAACTCCTTTAGTACAAACTACTCTTATACCCTCCCCTTGAACGCACACACACACATACACACTCACACTCACATACACACTCAGACGCAATCACCGCACTTAATGCCCCTGACTGCAATTGGGGAAAAAGTTTAAATGTCAACACTAAGCAAAGCAATCAAAGTTAAACGTACAAACACAAATGCAAACACAAATTGCAAGTGTACATACACACACACACACATACACACAAACACACAAACGCTTCTGCAATTTTGATGAGCTCTTACCTTATTAGTTTAAAGTTTAGTTAGTTTTTATGTGTTCGCTCTTGGCAACTAGCAATTAAAGTTGACTTAATGAAGTAATCCGTTTTGTGTAGTTGCAAGGAAGAAGGTGGTGCATATGTATGTACGTATTTGTGCAGAGAATTAATTGTTGGTCATGTCAGACCGTGGTTAAAAATTAAAATTTACTTCATTGGGACTAAATATTTAATAATTTACAGTTTACAAGTATTGTTTGGAAATTATATTTTTTTTAACAAAGAAATACAATATATTGTTTTTTATTTAGAGAAATGAGAGTAGCAAAACTGAACGCTTCAAAAAACAGCATTTTCCGTTCGAGGAAAATAAAAAACACTTCTATAACGTAATTTGAAAAATAATATTTGTTTTTTTTTTTTAACTGTTCATTTGACTTAAAAAGCTTTGTACATAAAAATAAAAAATTAAAAATAAAAAATTAAAAATAAAAATTTCGTTGAGTAAACCTCTTAAAATTGACCTTAATTAGTGTTCACTTATGCACTTAATATATTATTCGGCAGAAATTGTATAAAAATCATACATTAATATTTGGTAAAGCCTCCCTTGTTCTTCAGAACCTCTTTAATTCGATGTGGCAAAGATTCAACCAAGTTTTCTCAAGTATTGATTGTTATATCAGCCGAAATTTTCTGAACTCTATACCAAGGCTCCACTTTCTAGGTTTTTTAACGGGAAGGTATTCAGTCTTTTTAATAGCACGTAGCACCGTCCATACTCTGCCTTCGCTGCTAGTGCTCTGGGCTTTAAGTTTCAGTGTTGTGATCTTTCCAGGCATAAGTAGTCCCGCCATATGCCTTGCAATACTTTTGATGGGAATTAATTTCTTTTTTTTAATTTTCGTAAAGTATTGGTTGCCCGAAAAGTAGTTGCGGATTTTTTAAAAGAAAGTAAATGCATTTTTAATAAAACTTGGAATGAGCTTTAATCAAATATATAATTGCCATTTTGTTCGATAACCTTTTGCCATCTTCCTGCCAAATTTCGTATTCCACGTTCATAGAACTTCTGGCTTTTATCTGCAAAAAACTGAACCAAGTGCAAAGATCGAAATAAATGGTAGTCTGATGGTGCAAGGTCAGGGCTATATGGTGGATGCATCAAAAGTTCTCAGACAAGCTCACTCAGTTTTTGGCGAGTGACCAAAGATGTGTGCGGTCTAGCGTTGTCCTGTTGGAATATGACACCTTACGATTGACCAATTCTGGTCGCTTCTCCTTGATGGCTGTATTCAATTTGTCCAATTGTTGACAGTAAACATCCGAATTAATCGTTTGGTTCCTTGGAAGCAGCTCAAAATATACGAATAAACGACACCCTTCCAATCCCACCAAACAGACAGCATAACCTTCTTTTGGTGGATATCAGCCTTTGAAGTGGTTTGAGCTGGTTCACCATGCTTGGACCATAATCGTTTTCGACTAACGTTGTTGTAAACAATACATTTTTCATCTCCAGTTATGATTCGTTTTAAAAACGGATCGAATTCATTGCGTTTAAGGTGCATATCACAAGCGTTGATTCGGTGTGTTAAATGAATTTCTTTCAATACATGTGGTACCCAAATATCAAGCTTTTTCACCAGTCCAAGACTTTTTATGTGATAATGAACGGTTGATTTTGGTATATTTAACTTCTCTTCTATCTCACACTCAGTTATGATTAATGCTTTGATTTGGTCATCATCAACTTCATTTGGCCGACCTGAACGTGGCTCATCTTTGAGTGAAAAATCTCCAGAACGGAATTTGCGAAACCAATTTTGACACTGTCTTCCTTTTAGAGCTTCATCACCATACACATCTCGTAACTTTTTAGCAACCTGCTCCGCGTTTTTTCCTTTACGGAAATAATAAAGTAAAATATGACGAAAATGCTCCTTTGTGGGCTCCATATTAAAATTGACGCCAAACATACAAATGTAAACAAAATTTCGCGCCCTTTTTTTCTAAAGCAAGCTAAAAGTAACAGCTGATAACTGACACAAGAAAGAATGCAATTACAGAGTCACCGACTATATGAAAAATCCGCAATTACTTTTTGGGCAATTGCGGTCGTCCAAAATAAACCAAACAAAATTAGGTAGCTGTGATCAAGTAATAATTCTTAAAATTTATGATCAAGAGGTTGTGATAGATATTGGTATTTTGTTTAGTTTCTACTGCGGGACGACCCTTTTCTATCGACCTAAAATTTTTCGAATTGAACCCTTATTCTCATAATTTGAATTTCATTCACCTTAATCCTCCGAAGCTGAACGGAGCGTAATAAAGACAGCACTAAACATCCCAGAGAAATTATGGAAGAAAACTTGATGTGGAAGCTAAATGTGAAGGAGACAACTGTTATTATCACCTAACTTGTTGCTCTGGTGCTATACGACGGTTAGTAAAAAAGTATTGCTCTATGGAGACATGGTGTGGTGCACCATGGTCAATAATAGACAACGAGATGGATCTTGAATTCTATTGCGGTGAACCGCATCTTTAGGCGGAAGTCTTCACAAAAAGAAAAGGTGACAAGTAAAAAAACTAGGCTTAAAATAACAAGAAAAATTTTAGTCAGGCAGAATTTAGTGGCGGGAAAATAGTGGATTTCACATAATGAAATAATTGATGAAATTGCCAAAATTGCCATTTCTCTGGTGAATATACTGAAACAGGACATACCATTAATGCTAACAACCCTGAGCAACTAATAAGGATGAGATCCAAGAGTTGAACGGAGTGCGAAAATAGGTGAAAAGGCAGCAAATTTTGTCAGTCCGAAAGACTGCAGAATGGTTGCAGGCATAATAACAACCCACAGCCTATCCCTTCAATGATTTTACCTGCTCCTATCAAGGCCACGAGTCACACATCGAATAGGTAGTAGCCCAAGTACGAAAGAAGAAAAAAACTACAGCCGTATGAAACTTAGCTTGAAAAAAAAATATATGGACTTTCAGCCAAATTCACGGGTCACTGGCCTTTCGGGTATGACCCGCAATAGCAGTTGCCACAGCTGTGAACTAAATGGGGGAAAGAGAAACAATTATAAATGTTTTCTGTAAGAGCTCAGATCTCTCAAAAACACGAGTGCATGGGAAATCAAGGCTTGAATAACTATCCCAAAATGTCTTATAAAATTAGTGTAGCTAATTATTTTAAGGAAAAGAGCGGCATTTATTCCTAATTATATTAGGTGTCTCTGGATACTTAAAATTCATTAACTAAAATTTTAATTAATAAATAAACCATAATAATATTTTAATCAATTTTCAACAATTTCAAAATTTTTAGTGTAAAAACTCCTTACAAAAATGCACAACTACTCAAAATATTTACTAATACTTAGCTTCACGCTGGCAACACCGCTCTACACTTCACGTTGGCAACATGCATACAAATGTAATTTTAATGCGATTTCGCCACATTGCTGCGTAGATGCAAGCAAAATCATTGATTTGTTGGATAGCCAAGGTAAGTGGAAAATTATTATTTATCTATGAGAAATTTTATAGAGCTGAAATTGAAAATTTCAGCACATTTTAGCACAAGTTAATTCATTTTGCTGTTTCGAAATTAAACGTAAGCTCATATCACATATTCATACTAAAGTTTTTTTTAGTTTTAAGCGCCACTCTTTCATCATTTGAGTATTTGCGGTGCCCCAAATATGGAGAATTTTGCTCATTTACGTATCCCTCAAAGAGAATTGCACCTCGTCGTCGAAGAAAATTTTGTTCGAAAAATCGAAGTGCACTATTTGTAGTTAAGCTGGCTTTAGTTGTTGTGTGATTTGAACTTAAAATGGTTGTAGCTGTAAGTCTGAGTATAAAATATGCCATAAGAAAGTACCAGCTCTTGAGTATGTCAAGAAGTAGTCACTTTCCGGTCTTCGACTACACTCTCACTTACAGTAGCGGTATTTAAGGTGGCAGGAATAAAGCCTTGAAAATAACTGAAACCGATGCAGTCTCTCAAAATTTTACCAATCGCCTGAGTAGCTGCACGATTAAGTGCACTAGAATCTCTTTTTAAAGCACGAGCAATATTTTTGTAGTTGGATTGATCAATTTAAAAGCGTTGTGCGGTTGTTAGGCGTTCCATTTTTAGTTTGTTAAGTTACATTTGACATATACACGTATATTTTGAAAACACAAAATTAATATTTTTTTGTTTTTTTTTTTTTTATTTCCAGTCTGCTTAGTTGAGGATCATTCACACGGCGAGCCACTTCGCTACTCCATAACCATAGATGATTTTCCAGTCTGCACTGTCTATCGTTCGGGTGCCTGCATACACGATGCCGAGATTTGTGTGCTCTTGCGTCCACATATTTACATTTGTCAAACTTCATTCACACTCATCTTCAAGAATCGTATTGCGGAATGGTGTTTTTCGTCATACTTGAAAATTTACAGTATAAAAATGTATAAATATCCGAAACTATGTGGCTATTTTACGGAAAATTATTTTCTATTGCCGCGCATAGTTCAAGATTTACTCATCGATTTGGGTTATTAGTGTGTGGTTTTTGGGGAAAAAAAATATTGTGGAAGTGCAAGACTCCAATTTTGAAAAAAAATTATGTATTTACAACTTTTTTAATAAATAATATTTTTTATAAAGCTTTTTAGTTAGTATAAACCAAAATTGATTAACGCCTGAATTAGCATTATTCCCAGCTGAATAAATAAATAATATTTCCACCTTTTGTAAAGACAAACTTTACTGCTTATTCCTTCTTTGAGATTAGTAAAAATTTTAACATAAAATAACAACACATAACATAACACAGCTAACATAATGTGTAACATAGCAGAACATAATCTGCTCGTATGTACATACATAGATATGACATTAAAAAATTTGTACTCACCAATCGCCAAGTGCACAGAGAGAGCAATTTTATTAATGCTCAACGCCCAAATACGCAAATTATGTACACGTCTCACACCCTCAATATGTTCGAAGACCTCAAGGACCTCCGCATAGTGCATATAGCTTGGTGTACCTTCCATTAGAACCTATTTATCATTTTAGCAGGCAAACAGCACAAAGGCGCCAACATGACAGTTGCACGCAAAGCCACAGAGGCAAAGGAGTCACGATAGAAGCAGGATAGTCCACAGTCAGGATGGATAGTGCACATTTGGTAGGCACATTTGGTAGGCGTACGCCATTAATTCACACGCATTCGTTTGTATGTATTTTAGTTGTGTGTAAGTGCGTGGGCGTTTATTTGTTTATTTTGATATTCATGTTGTTGGTGGCAATAGTAATAAAGGAAGAATGAAAAAAAGAAAAGATAAATTGAAATGAATAAAACAAATATTAGTTTGTTTAATTATAATTGTTGTTGGACTTTTCTTTTTCTTTTTTGTGTAATCAAAGCAGTTAACAGGATAATCAAATTTAAACGGCCTAACCGATTAGAAAGTGGGACAGAAAAACAATGAGTAAATAAATCAAACGATTTGTAAGCAATTTGTGGGAAAAAGATTGGAGTACGAAGAAGAAATGTAGGAAAATGAAAGAGAGTAAAAGTGCTGAAGGAGTGCATTAAGATTAGGAAAATAAGTTAAAGTGACAGAAAAGGCGAATTATTTAATTTGGGCGAAAAATAATAAAGGACATCTTTAAGTGGTAACAAAAATCTTATCCGCCATAACCATAACCTTAATCTTGAACATAAACGTAACATCAACCTTATCCTTAACCCTAAAATTAGCCTTTAGGTTAATCTTCACCTACACCTTAAACTAAAATTTAGCTTTAACTTTCAACTCTATCTCCCCTTACACTTTACCTTCTCTTTACTGTCAGACTAAACCTTAACCGTAACCATAACCTTAAACTTGACTTTGACTTAAACTTTGACTTTAACTTTAACTTTAATTTTAACTTTAACTTTAACTCTAACTTTAACTTTAACTTTAACTTTAGGTTTAACTTTAACTTTAACTTTCACTTTAACTTTAACTTTAACTTTAACTTTAACTTTAACTTTAACTTTAACCTTAAACTTTTTCATTATCCTTACTTTTTAACATTAATATAACATTAATATAACATTAATATAACATTAACCTCAACCTTAACCTTAAACTTAACCCTAACCATAACCTTAACCTTAACCTTAACCTTAACCTTAACCTTACCCTTAACCTTACCCTTAACCTTGCCCTTAACCTTACCCTTAACCTTAACCTTAACCTTAAACTTAGCCTCAACCTTAACCTTAACCTTAACCTTACGCTTAACCTTAACCTTAATCTTAACATTAAGTTTAATCTTATCCTCAATTTTCACTTTACCTTAATCATAAGCTTATTTTTAAACTTTATCTTAAACTTTAAATTAACTCTAAAGTTAGATTTAGCCTTTTTCTTTGCCATAACCTTTAACTTGACCTTTAACTTAACTATAACCTATAAGTTTACAATTATTTGAATGCTACTTCTATTTTAACTCTTACACTGTAACTTTAAGATTTACCTCATTACTTACGTTAACTTTAGGCTTAACCTTAAACTTAACCTAAACTTTTACATTTGCCATGACTTTAACCTTAACATTAGTCTAAACCTTAACTGTGAACTTGAGTCAAAAGCAAAGTATTAGATAAACAAAATAAGAAAAACTACTCTCACTCACCAACAGCGCATCCTTCATAATCGCGAACGTCGTAAAGAGCACGATGATGGAAAATATGAACGTACAAATGGGATCGACAATTGCCCAATCGGGACGGAAGAATATAATCAGCGCAGCCACAAAGACGCCAGCACTTTGTATCATATCGCCAATCACGTGTATGAAAGCGGCGCGTACATTCAAATTCTCGGCCTCACGTGCAGCTGCACCACCGTGATGATGACTGCCTGGTGCTGTCTCCGCCATCACAGCGGCGATTTCAGCGCGTACATCCTTCACCGAAGTTGAATTTTGATAAGAAAAGGTGGATAAACCGGCGGCAGGTATTACAGCATCACTAGTGTCTATTTCCAAATCACCAGCGCCATCCTCCAGTGGACGTTGCGTCGGCGGTAAGGAGCAATGACCTGATGGTGAGCATGTCGGACCCGGCACATAGCGTTTATCATGACTATCATGCGGTTTGCTAGAAGAGGTAGTGATATCGAGGTTACCACCGGTAGCTTCTTGTAGATTGGCACCTTTTTTGCCCTTCTGCTTTTTGGCCTTGCCACCGTGACTATGACCATGCGCGCTAGACATGCCGCCATGTGTGTGACCATGCTGCAGTTGTATGCCCATGCTGGAAAGAGAAAATTTGTATGAAAAATATATATTTCTAGTGTTTGTTATATTTGTATTTAAACTTTATTTTAAGAAAAAGTCTTGTGAGAAGTTTTAGCTCTTTACATTTTTTCCTAGAACGAAAGCTCATAATAAATAAATTCTTCTTCAGCTTTCACTTCTTTGATTGCTGATTTTGTTGCATAATTTTATGCGCACATTCCTGCTACTCTAACCTACAAAGCATAACTTACAGTTCGTGCTTAAAAACTAGTCAATGCTCTTTACACTTCTAATATGGTTTATCGTTTTTATTGCATATGGGCAGCAGTGGTGGCATTTGCCGCATGAAGGCGCTCATGATGTTGTAAATAAATGTTAAGACTTACACCATGTCTGATACGCTTGAGTTCAACTCAGCTCCGTTCGAACTCACATAACAGCGAAGAAAGAAATATTTTTTCTATTTTCAAAAATTTACTGTTTTCATCTGAACGTTATTTATTATGTATGCAAATCAAAATGGATGAAATTTTCTGTGAATGAATGCAAGGAAATGAATTATAAAACTTCTTTATGTAATTTGATAGGAAACGTCGGAAGAAGAGAGCTAATTCGGCAAAGTAGAGGAAGTAGGAATCTCCAAGGAAGCTATAGCGGGTGGAACTGAGAGCTGAGCAGCGACAGTAATAGTCAACTACCAACTCTTTTTCATCTAGTGGTTCTTTATATATTATATTATGTTTCTGTTTAAAGTTAACACTCTTAGGGATCCATCCACCATTGAATGATCTAATAGGGAAATGATTTCACAGAGCGGGTTAGTAAGTGTCAAGTTCACTATAGTAGCATCACCAGAACTGTTGGCAATTTGTCGAACGTCGCTCAGCACAATAACCTTGGCAAGCGGTGAAATCGGCAGCTCCCTTGTGTGGGCTAGCTTTTATGTCACCGACGACGAAACCACGATATAATTTTTTAGTGGAAACGTACTTTACGTTGAAACCAACTTTGTCACCGGGCACGGTAGAGCTTCTTGATGACTTCAGTGGGGATGTTGGCTGGGTCGAAAACGACGATAATGCCAGGTTTCAACAAACCAGTTTCAACACGGCCGACTGGTACTGTACCAAAAGCGCCAAGTTTGTACGAGTACATGTCTTGCGGCTGCAAACGGAGAACCTTGTTTGTCCTTTGGTGGAGGGATGGCGTCGAGATCTTCGATAAGGGTCTTGCCTTCTACGTTACCTTTTTTACGTTCAACCTTCTACCCGTTGTACCATAGCATATTAGGGAACCCTTCCAAATGTTATCACCCTGTCAACCGGAGATTGATACCAACGCAACAGCATCTAGTTTGTAACCAATCTTCTTAATGTAGGAAGAAACTACCTTTTTGACACTAATAAAAAATTGTTACAAGCCCAGAGTAAAAACATGGTCACGAGCCTGGCCATTCCCTGTGAACTCGGCTTCGTATTCAACAGTAACAGATACGATAATCAGCACAGCTCAATCAGCCTGAGAAGTTCCAGTAATTGGTGTACTCAAACATCAACAAGGTGAGAGAGATGGTGATACCACGTTCACGTTCGGCCTTCAATTTATCCAAAACTCAGGCGTACTTGAAAGAAACCTTACTTTTTTCCTAAGCATCCATCAACTTCTTACTGGTACGTATCGATTTGTCTACTAACGACCATGTTCCCCAGTTTTCCAATGAGTTTTGAAATAAATTGAATCTATAAATCAAAGGAGTCTAAACTTATCTGCCAATAGACTTAAACAAAGTTATTATACCGCTTGCAGTTCTAGTGTAAGTCCGAGTTAGAAAGAAGTAGAGTCTTTATTTTCTTCTATTTAAATTATCTTCAGATCTGTGTGGGTTCAATAAAAATGGTTTCCTTGCGCCTACTGGTGAAGAGCGATCTGAAATAGGCATTCGGTAGAAGAAAATTGTGATTTGATTACATTGATGATCTACATTGTAGTTTCTTTTATACCAAACTGCTTCATTTTGGTGTCTTTCAGGCCTTTTCATAAATGATTGAGGCAGTGCAGGGCACAACTCTCGACAACGGTATAGATTTCTGTATTTGGAGAGCGTCCGGTACTGCGATTTATCTAAGGTAAAGTTACATTTAGTCTTATGGCGTTGCAGCTCGTAGCTTGAGTTTTATGATACAGGTATAACAAGAAAGCTGAATGTGAGTTTAAATGACTTTGGTATGAATTAAATCCAGCGCAGATGTTATAACCTTGCAGGCCATCTACTAAAGTTTTTCCAGTTTGCCTCTAGAAGTGACCTTGTCGAACGTAGGATATCACTGTGACACTGGGAGTTCATAGTTTCTTCGGTATGTACTCCTATACAGAGCAATAATCTCTGATCCAATATTCGTGAAAATTTCATAGAGTGCAGAAGTGAGCATTCTTATATATTGGTGGAGCATTACGCTTGACATTAACTGAGGCTCTAAATGCCTTCTTATTGGGCTACATAAGGTTGCTTGTGCTTGCCGTAAGAAAGAACAGAGTACTGCATAGCCCTCACTGACTTCACGATGGACTATAAGGTGGATATTTCGGAAAAAAACAAAACCATATGCAATAATCTGGTGCGTAATTAAGTAAAAGATCACAGAACTGACGGTCACACTAATTGATACTAATTGTATAGATTTATCGGTACTCTCTGTAAATCGTATCCATATATTCCTGGACTGCCAGAAAGCATTAAAAGTCCTGAAATCTGTGGCAGTAAGTTTAGAACTGTACAGAATTGCACTTACCAAGATGGTGAAGTAATTCACTTTGTACTTGGAAGGGTGCCAGAGCAGAGTGAAATGTCAATTCGCAAAATGGCAGACAAACTTTAAAAGAAGTTCACTTGAATATCGTTGCCTTGGAGGAGTGGAAAAAATATAATGACGTACATAGATTACCTCGATAAGTGTTGAACTGTTGTGATAAAATATCGCCTACAAGCCAAGAATTTTTGAAATAAATTTTCCACAAATCTTTTTAATACACCCACCACTCGCTCTAAGGGCAATTTTTAAATTGCCTAATCCTAAAAATCTTTAAGAACGGTTCTGGAATTATGCGTTTTAACATGACAGGGAAAATGTGTCATGACAGACTTCAATGAGAAAAAGTAAAGTGTACATGAAGTTGACCGTTAGGCGAATTTGTGTTGATTAAATAAATAAATAAACGTAAATAAAATGCATTTAAACTATTTTATTTTTCATGAAATTCTTTAACACAAGGCTTGAGCCTTGGCATTATATGTGAAAGACAACAAAATTGAAATATCAGCCTTTCATTTTTTTGCATACTTCGATAAGTTTGAGGCGATTTCGCCTACTCTTTAGCACACATTGGCCGGTATCTCAGACATAACTTGACGAATATTGGTTTTCAAGTGCTCAAGAGTTAAAGCATCCTCATCGTCACGTTCCTTCGAGTAGCAGCGCAAAACAAGTCCAACGATATCAAGTCCCACAAACCCGGTTGACATCGCCAAGACGAGAGATTACACGGCCAAGAAATTTCTACGGCAATAGGGCCATATGCGCTAGTGTTATGATACCAGGTACCATCTCGTGGCCACCATAAATTGTCCAGCGTAAAAAGTCGATTATTATATGACCATAAGACTGCCAGTTCATAGCGACAATCGTGCCGTTGTCTTGTTCAAAGAAATGCGGTACAATCACACCTTCGGGCCAAAGAGCGTTGCAGACGGTAAGCTTTTTTTTCGGTGTATTGACCACTTTTCAATTACATATCTATCGAGTGAGAAATATGACTCGTCGTTGAATAAAAGTATATTCAAATAAACGCCCTCCACTGTTTGTTGTTCAAGCAACCAATCTACGTATGAAGGCCGCTCTAAAAGGTATATTGCCTTAAATTTTTATATGAGCTGGACTTTAAATGGGCAAAGGTGTAAGTGGAAGTACAAAACACTATATAATGTGCACTAAGAAATTCACAGTTATTGACAACGTAGAGGGAAACAGGTTGGTTGTTGCTGTGGCTGTAGTAATGACTTAGCAAACCCACTTAGGAGCAGGCTAGATCAGTACGACGACTTAATTCGGGTATTCGGTTACCCTTTCACTTACAGTAGAGACAATTGAGGTGGAATGAACGAATAGATGATGCACAGTCCTTAAAATCTCTGTAACCAATCCATTGTCTGTAAATTTCTTTAAAATTTTTCCATTTACTTGAGTAGCTGGACGGTTATATGTGCCATAATCTCCTCGTAAAGCATGTTATTTGTTCAGTTTTTAATCGCCATTTTTGTAAGTGAATTTAACAATTTTAACGCATTTTGTGGTTGTTAAGGGATTTATTTTCCTAAAATCCTGCCTTTTAACTAGAACAAAATATATTTGGTTTTTGATTTTTGGTTTGGTTGTACATTTGAAACCACCAAAAGTTTGACCCTTTATTTTTCGGGTTTTGCTGCTGCACAAGGCTGTTACGTTTTTTATTGGTTTTTATTTGTTTTCCTCTTTTTGATTTATTTGTAAATTTCTTCATTTGGACGTAATCTCCTTAACAAGCATTTCTTTTTTTTTATGCTTTTTTCTTTCTCCTTTTCGAATTAGTAGCAAAAGCTAACGCATTTTTTGGCTAGATGTCCGCTCTAACACTTTTATTTGCAATTCGAAAATAATTGCAAACCAATTCTTCTTCTTTGTTTGGGAAAGTCGAAAACTTTTTCGACAAGGCGATCAAACAGAGAACTTACTCTATGCCGCTGTTGGGCAAGAAGGAGGACAATCAGTTCCCAAAGCGTAAGCAAAACAACATTCGACGAGCTTGAATATTATTTGTTGCCATTTTCGAAAAGATTTATTGCAGTTTTTCAGCAAATTTCAGGGACAACTGCCAAATAGATATGCCTCAGTGGAAAATGGAGTAAAAAACGAAAAGTAGATGTATGATAAAAAGGAAGGAAAGGCAAAAAACAAAAAAGGAAGTGGAAATGAAACAAATAAA